CTATCTTTCAAAATTGATGGAGAAATAAGATACTTTCATGATAAAGAGAACCTTAGGAACTTCATGAATACCAAACCAACACTCCAAAAAATTTTAGACAATATCCTAGGAAAAGACAATGAGGATTACAACCCCAGGAAGCCCAGCAGAATGAATCTGTTGGGCGTGACAAATTCAATGCTAAGCGGGGAGAATCCAACAAAAAGAAAGTCATGACAAGGCTTTTAAAACTTTCAACCTCATCTCCCTAATGAGTGTATAATTCAATCTTGTTATTGTACTGATTTCTATTTTTCTGATTCTAGTGTTGCACACCTTTCCTTGTGCTGTACTGGCTATTTATCATCTTCTTGTGTCTACTTTCTAATTGGGTTGTCTATTTTTTGTTTTGTTTTTTGGTACCAGGGATCGAACTCAGGACCTTGCACTTGCAAGGCAGGCACCAGAACCACTGAGCTAAATCCCCGGCCCTTTGGGTTGTTTATTAATGAGCTGTAAGAGTTCTTTACATATTCTGTTCTTAATATATTTATGTATTATTTATATTATTATATAGTCTTTATATATTCTGGTCTTAGGTTATATGCATTGTAAATACGGTCTATTTAAGGACTACTTTTCATTTTAATGATGTCATTTAAAGTTCTAAATTTTGATGAAATCTCATTTATCAATTTTTTTCTTTTTACATCATGCTTTTTGTATCCTAGGAAGTTCTTGCCTACCCTAAATTTATAAACATTTTCCCTTGTAATTTCTTCTTAAAGTTTTATAGTTTGTCTTTCATATTTAGCTTCATAGATCCCTTCAAGTAATTTTTATGTATGGAAATAAAAGGTTGAGGTTAATTTTTTATATACTGATAACAGGTATTCTAGTGCCATTTGCTGAAAACACTATCTTTTCCTTAGCTCTTGAATTGAGTTTATATTCTATAAAATATTAATGTTAAATAATCTTTTAAAACTCAGTGGACTATATATGTGTGGTTCTATTTCTAGATT